TTCCTTATTTTGGTATAAGGTGAAGGGCATTCCTTGTAGATAACTTGAGGAGTTTTGACTGTGAGGAATTGTTTTCTTTTCATTAGTGGTGTCTGGGTTATATGCAGCACCTATGTTTCCTATTAATTTCTCTTCTACAGTGACAATGTGAAGCAAATTGCTTTGTGGCATTGGGCAGCAAGGAGTCCTGATGGCTGAAGTGTAGTTGAACATGGGACAGCTTTAAGTTATGAGATTAATGGCCAGGTCAAGTTTGGGCAAGTTGACAGAAAGTAGGGATTGAGATGGTTCTGAAGACTACTTAAAAAGCAGTCTCAGCACAGTCACAGCTCCAAGATGAGCATCCACAGAGGAGAGTTTAGCCATGGAGAGCTCTGAGTGAGCCATGGAATTCCTGAAAGCTGGGAGCTGCTCATGGCCTATTCTCCCGAGGCAGCTGCAGAGTCCATGGTTGGTTCTGTTCTCAAAGTTCAGAAGGGGACTCCAGTGGATTTAAGTGCAATAGTTCTCTGCCCTGGCTTTTCATGAGTCTACTGGGAAGATTCTGATGTCACCAGTATGAGAGGAGCATTTTGAAAACTCAGGTGATTGTGATGTGCAGCTGGGTTGAGAACCCTATTTAATGCAGTCAGTTTGCAATCCCTTTGAGTCAAAAATTTCAGTGCTGCCTGCCACAGTGCTTCACACAAATCACCTGATATCCCATTAAATGCAGATTCCCATTTAGACGGTCTGAAGTGGGGCTTGGGATTCTGCATGTCTAACAAGCTTCCAGGTGATGCTGAGGCTCCTGGTCCCGACAACACTTGAGTGGCTTGAGCTTGTTACTCCATGTGCAGAGCCAGACTTACACCAGTCCACAAGCATCAGTAAGCATCTTTCTACCATGATCCTACTCTCTGACAGAACTTACTTAGTGTAGTAGAAGGAACACAGGCCAAGAGGCCTGCTTTCCAATTCCAGTTCTGCCTGTAATTAGAGGCAAGAGAAGTCTCTTAAAAGTGCTTCAGTCTTTCACCTTCTTACCACCTTTTTATGTGGAAAGACAGTCTGGATTCTGCAGTAAGGACCCTAGCTTCTGTTAGTGGCCTTTCTTCCCCCCAGGGAATGGGGCCTAAACCCCGAACTTAGGATCAACTTGAGGAAGTAAAACTAATC